TGTCTCCATGTATAATGTCCTTGATGTCATTCCACAGCTCGTCTAGTCTTTGGTCATTAGTGTTCAGTGTGTCAAATCTGTTCTTGAGATGGTCTCTAAATTCAAGTGGGATATACTGAAGGTCATATTTTGGCTCTCATGGACTTGCTCTAATTTTCTTCAGCTTCAACTTGAACTTGCATGTAAGCAATTAATAGTTTGTACCACAGTCGGCCCCTTGCCTTATTCTGATTGATGATAATTTATCTTCTCCATCATCTCTTTCCACAGATGTAGTGAGTTTGATTCCTGTGTATTCCATCTGACAGGGTCCACATGTATAGTTGTCATTTATGTTGTTGAAAAAAGGTATTTCCAATGAAGAAGTCGTTGGTCTTGCAAAATTCTATCATGTGATCTCCGGCGTCGTTTCTGTCACCAAGGCCATATTTTCCAACTGCTGATCCTTCTTTGTTTCCAACTTTTGCATTCCAATCACTAGTAATTATCAGTGCATCTTGACTGCATGTTTGATCAATTTCAAACTGCAGAAATTGGTAAAAATCTTCAATTTCCTCATTAGTGATTGGTGCGTAAATTTGAATAATAGTCATATTAACTGGTTGGTCATCCTTGTAGGTGTATGGATATTATCCTATCACTGACAGCATTGTACTTCAGGATAGATCTTGAAATGTTCTTTTTAACAGTGAATGCAACTCCATTCCTCTTTAATTTCAGCACAGTAGACCATATGACTGTCCAATTCAAAATGGCCAGTACCAGTCCATTTCAGCTCACTAATGCCTAGGATATCAATGTGTATGCATTTCATTTTTGATGAGTTCCAATTTTCCCAGATTCATACTTCATACATTCCATGTTCCAATTATTAATGGATGTTTGCAGCTGTTTATTCTCATTTTGAGTTTTGCCGCCTCAGCAAATGAAGGTCCTGAAAGCTTGACTCCTTCCACGTCATTAAGGTCGACTCTACTTTGAGGAGGCAGCTGTTCCCCATTCGTATTTTGAGTGTCTTCCCTCTTTTGGCACTACAGCAGAGAATGTTCTGCTGCTATTCATAAGGCTTCCACTGGCCAATTTTTTCAGAAGTAGGCCACCAGGTCCTTCTTTCTAGTCTGAGTCTGGAAGCTCTGCTGAAACCTGTCCACCAGGGGTGACCCTGCTGGTATTTGAAATACCAGTGGCCTAGCTTCCAGTATCACAGATACACGCAAGCCACCACAGTACAACAAACTGACAGACGTGTGGGGCTGGGATGATGGGGCCGATAATTTGGGTTTCTGTCAAGTTTCCAGGTGGTGCTGATGCTGCTGGTCAGGGAACCACACTTTGAGAACCACTCTCCTAGACCTAGAGCAGGGGTCAGCAAACTACGCCCCGCTGGCTAAATCCAGCCCTTCGGCCTGTTTTTGTAAGGCCCCCAGTGAGCTAAGTGGTTTTTGCATTAGTAGGGATTGTTTTAAAAGCAAAGAATATGCAACAGAAACCATATGTGGTCTATAAGTATTTACTATCTGGCCTGTTGCAGAAAAGGTTTGCAGACACCTGATTGAGAGCATGCGCCAGAGCCTTAGCTGCTGAGGTTTTCAGCATTTCTGATGCAAAAGTGCTTCTTCTCAAACTCTGAAATGAAAGGAAATGCTAAATATTGATACTGATTTTCATTCACTCACAGAGTGTTCTCCAAACTTGTCTTCTCTATCCCTCCTGTAAATACCAGCACAGCTTCAGGTATAGTAGTTTTTTGCATGTGTTGAGAATTTTTTACATTATTTTATTTTTGAATTGATAATACTACACATCTACACACTTCAAAAAGGTATAAAAGAGTACATAGTGAAAAGTAAATCTCCCTGATAGCCCTGTTCCCTACCCCCTCATTCCCTTATCCGGGAGGTTACCATTATTATCTTGTATATCCTTTTACAGGTAGTCTGATAATCTTTACATACACAATCATTTACTTATACATATTATATATATAATTATAAATTACATATATAAAATATATATGCATAAAAATATAATTTTTTTAACTCAAACGGTATCATACTGCATGTATTGTTCTACATCTTCCTTTTTTTCATTCCACATTATTTCTTAGAAATCATCCCATGTATACATATTTAAAAAAAAAAAAAATCAAACTCGTTGCCATCAAGTCGATTCTGACTCAGCAACTCTATAGGACAGAGTAGAACTGCCCCATAGGGTTTCCATAGGCTGGTGAATTAAAACTGCCAACCTTTTGGTTAGCAGCTATAGCTCTTAACCACTGCACCACCAGAGCCCCATATTATTAAGCTTCCTTATTCTTCTTAACAGCCACATATAATTTTTCATTGTATGGGTCTACCATAATTTTGTAACCACTTGCCTAACAGTGAACTTTAGGTTCATAAATTCCTTAAAGGGGAATTACTGGGTTAAAGGGTGCATGCATTTGCAATTTTCATGGATCATGCTGTATTGCCCTCTGGATAGGCTGTACCCATCCACACCTTCACCAGCAACGTAGGAATGTAGCTGTGTTCCAGTTAGATCTTGGCCAATGGCTGATAAGTGAACAAGGTATGGTTTTAACTTGTATTTCTCTAAGTAGACCAGTTGATTATCTTTCATATGTTTAAGAGTTGCTTGTAGTATCACTCTTGAAGATCCCAGTTCCTCACAATATCTCCTTTACAGTTTTTTCAATTTATTATTTTGGGAAAAGTATTATGTTTTTTAGCATGCAAATTTATCCCTATGAATATCTGTACTTTAAAACAATATATGCAGGAAAAAAGTATAGTAAAATACAGTTTATTAACATGGGCATTTTATAAGAAAAGTCAAGAGTTATGAAATCATAAATAGGTATTAATATGTCTTATTTAACCTTAAGCTCAGCAGACCAATCTTGAAAATAAGGAAAATAAATAAATATAGGTTAAATGATGAAGTGCATCAATTAGAATTATTTGAAATCGAAACTATAGTTTATACAAATTATTGTGCAAAATGTTTCAATTTGATACAAGCTGTAGTAATTGAAACTATTAACACAGGACTTCTCTTTTATAACTGAGTAGAAAAACATAAATCCCTGCTATAATGTTGTCATTCTCTAATAACAGTTTTATTAAAAGTATTGACTCATTTGGTATATACTTAATGAATAGTACAAAGGTAACACTTCAGCCTAGTTCCTGTCTAAGTGAAGCAACGAAATGAGTTTGTTACTGAAATGTTGCTGAGTGGAAACCCCAGGTTCTCCTCAGCTTGACGTGTTACAGCCAATAAACAAGAGGCCGAGGTGGGAGATTGGAAAGACCCTTTATTTCCTTATGTAAGGAAAGGAGCAATAAGGGCTGTAGCCTCCAAGACTGCTTACAGGAAGCTTGGAGAGGTGGGCTTTTACTGAGAGCAGATGAGGAAATGCAAATTAATCATGGATATTCAGATTGACCTTCCAGCAGGTGCTCAGGGCTTGGGGGTGACTATGCATTTTCTCTAGTCATGGGTTGGGTTCCCCAGGATGTTAAGTCTCCACCCAGAGGTGGGGTGCTTATATGTATTTTTCACTCAGTGAGCTGACAGGTCACTTGAAGTGTTAAGATGGTGTAGAAAACCTGCTAAAACTGGTTGAGGCCATCTATGGCCCCTTCTGTGTTACCTTGTCAAGGACGATTTCAGAAGAATGTGTATATTGTAGCTTATTCTGCTCAGTGTAGGAGGATAAGGCAGAGCAAGTGTCTCTTAGAAGGGCTGGGCTCTGAGGCCGTCTGCCTCAAAGACATATAGGAAATAAAATTGCCATCATTTTGACTCTAAAAAAAAGTTACTTGTCCTTTGTCTGTGAACTGTGTTCAGATAATTCATCTAACTTCTACTAGGTTGCTGGTCTTAATCTTATTAATAGGATCATTCTATATTTGTCTTTCATATAATTTATATTTTCTTAGTTTGTCATTATCTTGATTTTGTTTATTCTTTTTGCCATGCGGTAATTAAACATGAAAATGTTTTTATGTACATAAGTGTGTACATAGATTCTAGGTTTTGTGTCATTCTTAGGCTTTCCCACTCTGGACTTGTTTATTAAAAATCGTCCTATTGTTCTTCTACCACATTTATGAGGGTGTTTTGTTTTGTTGCATGGGCAAATATGTGATTTATTTGGAATTTAGAGTGAAATGAGAGGTGAGGTACATTTTTTTCCTCCAAATTGTTGTCTAACATCACTTATTGAACAGCTGACCTTTGCCACACTGATTTGAAACGGCACCTTCAGGCAGTTTTTAATTGTTAAGTGACACTTGACCAAATTAAGGAATTGCTGAAGGAAAACAGTCCTGTTAGATCACAATAGTTCTGAATCCTCCTTGCTTTTAGAATTGTCTAAGGTAATGCTTCTCAAAGTTTTATGTGCATCTGAATTACCTTGGGATTTTGTTAAAAATGCAGATTCTGATTCATTCAGGTTGGGGTCTGGGATTCAGCATTTCTAACAAGCTCCCAATTTGATGCTGAAGCTGCAGAACCAATGGTCCTGGATTTTTTAACCAATGGTCAAGGATTTATGGAGCTCTTAAAATATCAGTGCCTGAGCCTGTTGCCAGAAATGATGATTTTAATCGGTCTGTGGTAGGGCCCAGGTGTAGATATTTTAAAGGATTCCCTATGTGATTCTAATCTATAGTTGAGACTGAGAGTTGCTGGGTTAGGAGAGCTAGATTTCAATAATTATTATTTTGGCAGCTATTGCTTGAGAAACCAGGTAAGTAGGTGGGGCAGTCTTAAAATAATAGTGATTGTTGAGAATAATAAATTGGTTAGGACTCAGGTCCTTATACATTTCTCCTGCCGCTTCCCCCTCACTCTTTCCACAGATGCTATAGAGGGATGATGAAAAAAAGTTACAGAAATAAGTACAGTATTATGGCTGAGTATTTTCTTTTCAAAGCATTAAAGTGCTAGAAGTTCTTAAAGAGTTGCCGTGTGTTTTTCTACAGGTGGAATGAGGTATCATCTACTGTCTCCAGAGGATCGAGAAGAATTGGTAGAAGGAACAAGACCTAGAAGAAAGAAACATGACTATCGTATAGCCCTATTTGGAGGTTCCCAACCACAGTCTTGTAGATATTTTAACCCAAAGGTGACTGATTTTTATTTTTGCTTTTGTTTTTATGAAAGAATGCACACATAGACACTCACCTACCACCAGTAGTAATAACTCATACCTTTAGAAATGTTACAATCTGTGGTGTTTTTTCACATGTCGTATAGGGTACACAGTTATCATCTTCATTTTACAGATAAGGAAATTGAGGCTAAGCAGGATTTCAGATTTCTGTAATTGTTCTGGAGTGCTGAATGGTAACCACTGTCAAAGAAAATGGAAAGCTAGTTCTCCTGTCTTATCTCTTTTTGTTTAGCAACCCTTTGCTTTCATCATAATTCCTTGCTTTCATTGTGTTCCATTTCCAATGAAAAACTGCTTCTGAAGACAGATGTGTTTTCTTTCAACCAAAAACTAAAGTCATGTAGAATTATAATTTTATACATCACTAGCTTTCAGATGTTGATGATAGTTATACCTCATTTGTTTCTCAAAACCTAACTGTGGTGTGGATTTTGGCAGTTAAAAAGCAATTAAACCAAGTTTTGGTAGAAACTATTTTATTTCTGGATAAAGTAAATGGCTGTTTTGATGTATAGAGTGATAAAATCCTGATTTGATTGAGGAGACAGGGAACATTGTTTCTAGAATGAGGCAAATGTGAAATGACTCTGTGCTTTGTGTGTTTGTTTTCAGCTTGTAGTTCTTAACACTTTCCTTGATTTTTTAAATTTTTTTAAACTGGACGTTTGAAAGAAGATACATATTCTACATGAGCCTGGAAGTGAGAATGTAACTTAAGAATTCTCATTAGATGCTTGCTTTGCTTTTTCAAATGACCCATACTTGATAGCTCTTTTGTATACCCAACTACAAATTTTTGGACCTTAAGTAGAACAGTTCAAATAATTGAGGAATTAACTACTGATAAAAAAATATCATTCCATAAATTATCTCTTATTCCCTGAAGCCAACACTCTAGAATCCCATTACAATATTTATTAAATATTTCTGTTAAAAGTGATAGCCCCCCCTTCTTTTTGCTATAAGAATTTCTCTTGAAAAACTTTGACCACTTACTGTGATTTGTGTGTAACTTTTTAATATAAAGTACTCCTAATTATTTCTAATATTAAAATAATTGGGGAGGCTGGTTTCATTGCAAGTTATTTACCTTGACTCTCCCAAAGTGAACATTATTTAATAGTATGATTTAAGTAGACTGCTTAATAAGAAGTACTATATAAGAATTATTTTTAAATTCTTGTACTTAAAATTTTCGGAAATGTTGAAGTGTTTTTAACTGTCATTAAATGGGACCCATTTGGGCATATGTGTCCTATACCAGCCAAAAATAGTAATAATTTTTATTAACTTGATCTTCAGAGGGGACATTTTCAGCAGTATTATTTATTTGAATTGTCAAGAATTAAGCCAATATCCCTATTAGCTGTTATCTTTAGATATTCCTTGGATATCGCTGGTAACAGGAAGAAGATATTTGTATTAATTGCTGACTGAAAAATTATAGGAAAAAAAATTTTATTCTTTCTTCTGAGTATTGGCAGAAAAAGAAGTCTTGGGTTGCTATTTTGAATTTAAATGATACTGTTCTTGTTGTGGTCCTTTCATAGAGCCTGCTGAGCTTTCTCCTCCCTTCCCCCTACCACCCATAGCTATTTTTAAAGTTTCAAGCACTTAGTGATTACTAAAAGAGTTATCTGTGTTCATTGCTTTATTTCTGTGAGTACTGGTGTTCTCAAATTGTAGGATGGGAATGTCTTATGATACTGATGCCTAAATAAAAGTTGTCTTAATCGACCAGTTATTGTTTGGACTCCTGTCCTCCAAATGATGAGCTGAGATCTTAGAACTTAGAGACACAAGGAATTCTGCATATTCCCTACCAAAAACAAATAAGGAGGAAGACCAGCAGGGTGAAGGGAAGAGTCTGTAAAGAAGGCAGAAAACAATATGGCATCATATTTTATGGAACCATCAAGATCGATGGCTTACACTGAGGACATTTCCTTACTCACAACTCTGAAGTAGACTCATCTCTAAGCCTAGTGCCTGGCACTAAATGTAGGTAATCAAGTTTCTGATGATGAATGAACCAGTATAGCTTTATATAGCATTTTTCAGGCAGTTTTCTCAGCTTGTTTTATAGGACTAGATCTAAATATTTTAAAAGTCCTCACTTATGGCGACCCTGTGTATGCCAGAGTAGAACTGCACTTCACGAGATTTTCAGTGGCTGATTTTTCAGAAGTAGATTACGAGACCTTTTTTCCAAGATACCTCTGGGTGGACTTTACCCTCCAACCTCTCAGTTAGTAGCAAGCACATTAACTGTTTGCACCACCCAGGGACTCCAGTCTAAATATAGATAGGCCCAATGTATGCATGGGCCCTAAACCAAAACATGGAGTTGTCTGCAACTCTGAGCACACTTTCCTGTTGGAAATAATGTTTGTTGAAGGTATCACAGTGCCTTTTCTCACAGTATCATAACCACTTTCCCCTCTTAAGCAGGCCTAGACTCTCTCACTAAGGAGGGGGAGACATTCCCACCCTGTGATCAGGGTGAAAATTGGCAGTTATACATAGCAACGGGTCAATTAAACGTGATTTTAAAAGATTGTTGGCATACATAGTAAGGGGTCAACTAAACATGTGATTTTAAAAGATTGTTCGCATAAAAGAAGTGTAAACCTTAAAGGAAAATGGTGTTACATGAAAAAATCAAGGTGGCTTTTGTAAGAATGTATCAGTACTGCTTACCACCAGTGAAACAGATTTATAGAAGCAGTGCACCAAGCACTGCCAAAATGATCAGGAGGATCTACAGGAACAATATATCCAAAATGGGCAACAGGCAGTCTTCCCAGCTGGATTGAGCCTATAGTTGTGTGCCAAGGGGCTAACAATAGCTGGAATGCAAATATGAATCATCATCAGTATCCTATAGGCTTCCTTAGTTGTCAGTATAAAAGCACCCAATGGGAAAAATCAATGTTCTTTGCAAATTGTGCATAGTAAGTTCGTGTATAAGAAGACATTGTAACACATTCTAAGGTAAATTCTCAGTTGAGTGCTCTGTCTTCCTAGAATGTCTTACAAAACAGAAATATTGAGAGCTTTAGTCTTTTTCTTTTTACACATCTCCTTAACACGCTGATTTGTAGTTTTGTCTTAACGTCAGCCTGACGGCCCCTTCCATCCCACGTACGTGCAGGGCCTGAAGTTCTCACCTTCAGAGATCCTTTTGTGTTAAGTCACTACACCTGCAAGAAACTCCCAGTAAAATTATGACTGACTCTGGGAGGGATAACATCAGACTCATTCTCCACTGGCCACAACCAGCCATAATTATCATAAATTAACAGATGAGCCCCATAAAAAGGCTCTGAGGGGGTGAAAACAGAGCAGCAGGTATTTGATTTGAGAGCTGTAAGTGGGAAGGGATGAGGAAGATAGGAATAGTATCTCTGCGTGGTGGTGTTTAGGGACTCTAGCCATCCCGGCAGTCTAGCTGCCCTGGAAGTAGCTGGAGGGTAATGGGCACGTGAACCCAGGGCGAGAGGAGTAAGAGTCACCTGAGGGTAGCTAACAGGAAAGGAGATAAATTATCTCTATTTACTATACCATGTCATGTCACCTGAAAATTACTATTGGCTGCCTTTGGTAATTGTTGTTCATAAGATGACCTAGAGGCACAGTAAGATCTGTCATCCCAGAAGTATTAAGTCATGTTCAGTATAGGCTTGGTGTGGATTGTGTTCTTTGAAATTGGTGATCCAGGTATAAGAGATAATTATCGTCAGTTGTTACAAACAAAAGAGCATATTGTGTGGTTAGCTGGTTGGAAAAGCATAGTTTAAACAGGTAATATTTTAGCATATATTACCGGTATCACAGTTCATCAGGAATTTGAAATCTGTGGGTCTGACACTTGTACTGGACACTGGCAGGCGATATGAAAGACGCATAGGATACAGTCCTGTCCTCAGACTCATGGTGCATAAGGTTGTACACATAAGGATGAAGCGGTTAGAGAGCACGGAGGCTGAGGTCAGCAAGGTGCTCAATAGAACCTAACCAGTTAAGTGTCCCAATGTGTGATAGATAGCCTTGGTGGGACAGAAGAGAAGAGACCCCTCTGGGTTGGATTTGTCAATGGAAGCTTCATGGAGGTTTTCTTGAGGGAGACTTATTGGTAAATTTGGATAGGAGGAAGAAGAAAATAAGAGAATATTGAATCCTGAGTATGAATACATCTTTTTGGCTTGGTAAGTTATTTTTTATTAAAAATGTTCATAAAAACTCCCAAAAGTATTATTTAACTGAATGGAATCTAACTTTGTGCTTTAAAAAAAGAAGAAATTAGATACAGTTGAAAGAACTGAAGGTCTAGGTATTAAGTCTTTTCTTTTGTGCAGGCTTTTTTCTTTTTTCCTATTTTGTTTTGTAAGGAAAGCAGTTGTTTAGTAGAGAGAGTATTTCAAGTCTAGGTATAAGACCTTAGGCAAGTCAGTTAGCTTTTCTAAACTTCAGTTTTCTGGTCTGAAAAAAAAAAAAGTTTAAATCTCCTCAGGATTTGTGTGAATACTAAATGAGAGAAAAGAAATTATGTTCACTGACTCCCTCTTTTTCTTTTCTTTGATCTTCATTCACTTTTCAGTCAGTTCCTCCCTACCACCCTCCGGTTTTCTCGCTTTCCCATGTTAATATGTAAAACAGCTTATCATTTTCCCCCTTCCTTTTCTGCTTCACCTTCCCTAACTCTTCCAACCCCCTTGGCCATCTGCATTATCTCCTGTTCTCTGCATGTCTAAAAACAAAGAGTAGATGTTTGCCCCATTGGTGAGAACATTCTCTTAAATGAGTATGTTAGTGCATTCTGGAATTTGAGATCATTGTTTAAAGTGTAATTTACCTTGCTATATTGAGATTAAAAATTGCATGCCAAAATTCATTTTAAGGCATATCTTCTGTATAGATAACTGGAAGGGTGATAGCACATGGATACTTTC